TTATAATTGGTTTTCTAGTTAAAATCGTTGTATAGAATCACAGGAAACAAAAACCTAAATGTAACAGCTTGGGAACGTATTTGACGACAGCTTTGATGTTGACCTTTCAAATGATAGTTGGAGTTGCACATCGATTCATATTCAAAAGGAAAGTAATTCTCTCCCTCAATGAATCTTCGTTCAAAAGAAGGCAGCTATCAAATATTGGGTACAAAAATGCAAGATCCACGGTAAATTAATTGGGCACAAACCACATATTACAAAACCAGGATGATTTTTGGCATGCTTGAAAAGAGAAGGGCCAAATACAACAGAAAAGAAAATACATTCAAGCTTCTCAATAAACATGGCTCAAGCACCCGATCATCGTTTCAATCCAAACCTACCCAACAAGGGCATACCGCGTGTCCATAGTAACAGAAGAGTGGCATTTACAAAGCATGAACTGCAATATGTTTCTTTTTCTCCTAAACAAAATTGTTACTAAAACGGAACATGGTCTCCCTAACATAGAGCAATACAAGCAAAGATAGTCAATTGTCATACACACAAAATTAGTCCTCATCCATCCCTGCAGGCTGATCTCTCTTACTAGGGCCACCTGCTGGTTTTCCCATTATAATCTGCAAGATAGTCAAAGCACTGTCAACAACCTTTTTTTTAATGAAGGTATTAAACATTAAATAGGCTGCAATCAGATAGATTCATCATTTCTCACACATTTTTAGCTAGCTAGAAAACCCCCAGCATATAGATTTTCTATTTACTATCAAGCCTTCTGCACTGAAGCCATATTCATTATAAAAGTTCAACATTTCCCAAACGTAACTTTCAATTTTATTTTATTTTTCCAAGTTAAAAACTAACATTTGCGACCGTTCTTTTGAGTTATAAAGGAGTTTGTGTTCTGAGTACACACGTGCATACATGCATCTGTGCCAAGTTAGGGGAACTTTAAAAAAAAGAAAAAAAAGACTTCACAAAAAGTATAAAAGTATAAAATTAAATAAATAAATAAAAAGAATAGTCAACTAATTCATAAAGCCTCGATTTTTTTTATAAAAAAAACTGTATGTATAGCATTTTTTCTGCTTTGGCCTCAAAGATGCAATCAGGGATTCAAAGATGTAGTTCATACCAAATTTGGGTACTTCAAAATTAGGAAAACCATTGACAAATACGTAGTTACTAGTTACCTGATCTACCCGTAGAATAGTGCAGGTAGCATCTGCAGCATACTTGAGAGCAAAGAACTTGCAACACACAGCCCAAGAAAGAAGATTGATACCACTATGGAAATTTGGATTGCATGTAATTTTGCTTCCCATATTCTATTCAATCTTTCAAGCCTTCAGATAGAACATAACCTGCATAGTGCAGATGAAATCATAATTTGAAACAAAACTAATATACTAGAAATAAGAACCATATTAGGGAGGGAGAAATAGGATAATGACAACTAAATCTTTTAGATGCAAGAAGCTTAACTGCCTATGATTCCCCAATGACTAGAACAGGGTATTTCTTTCCTTTTCGGGAAAAAAATCTAGCAATAAGCAAGTGTGGGGGAGTGCATGTTAAGAAGTAGCAACACTATTAGAATAAATTTTCACTATTAGGAGTTGCAGTCGTATTTTCCCAGTGTTACCAAGCAATTGTGGGAAAGGCCAAAAGAAAAAGGGTGATGCATACAAACTATCACTATTCAACATACCATTAGACCACTAAATGACACATCTCTTGCGAGTGTGGACCAGCATCTGTCAAATGAAAGAAAAATTAAATCCGCAATTGTTGAAAGGCAAAGACCTCCAGTATTTTACAGTGAACTAATGGCCTCATGGTGAACTTGATTGCATGTAGCACAACCTCACACTAATATATTCTTTTACTTCAATTTTTCTTATAACACTCACAGATTTTATTAATGAAATGTAGTTACAAGGAGGATGAATGAGATGTCCATCTAAAATCCTGTTAACATTCTCAATCCCAAACAAACAAAAATCAGCCAAAACCAAACTAACTATTAAGGATGAATGAGATGTCAATCTAAAATCCTGTTAACGTTCTCAATCCCAAACAAAAAAATTCAGCCAAAACCAAACTAACTATTTGGATGACACACAAGGATTGAGTTAAGAGGCCAACAGTCTTCAAGACTCTTAATTCCCTGATCCCCATCATGATGAAAAAATGAGAGAAGAGGGAAGGAGGAGGAGGGACCATACATTTGGATACCAATACTCAAAAATTTACTTTCTTACATATAATTTACGTCAAGTTAAATTCCATCCATATGATTGCATACCAAAAAATTGAGCTTTACCCATTACCCGTGAATGCTACATCGATAACATCTGTACTCTATGATCATACCTGAATTGCACAAAGATAAGCTTGGCTCTGAATACATGTCTTTACAGGTCCCCAAATGCCCTGAAAATAGCTCCCAACAGAAACTTATCTTTACAGAGACAACTGGACGCATTATTCCTTCTCCAAATGCCCCAGAATTAGCACCACACAGAAACTCCCTCCAAATTACATTGTAGAAATAGTTCACACTCTATGCAAAACATTATAAACGCATAATGTTATACATGCACTAAATACCAGAAACCTTGATTTCTGTTCTTTTTCTATTGAAAAATAAAATAAAAACAACAATCGTGTTTTCAATTGCTTCAAATTCCAAACATGTACAGTTTAACCTATCGTGAATAGTCAATGGTTGCACTTGGCGAGAAGATTATAGTTTCAGTCTTTCATTTTTACTTCTTGATGTTGTCGCTATTTCTATGCCATAAGGTCCCTCTAATCCAAATAACATAAGTGGGAAAATAGCGAATTGGAAGCTTACCAAAGAAGTGCTTTGAGTCGTTTCGCCTAAAGCATGTCTTTTGCTCGAGCTCGAGGTCTGTATCGCCATTGAAATAGCTCCCTCTCTCACTGGTTAGGGTTTGTGGATTTGTTGTTTTAAGTCAAAATGGGGTGGATTTGGGGGCCTTGCACGATTCCATTATAGGGAAATAGCTCAAAATGCCGCCCTTTTAATTGGATTTGGGTAGAGAAGAAAACAGAGAGGAGGAGGAAGAACTGGGTTTTGAGGGCAAAGCTGTGGGTTTTGTGAGATAGAGTTGAGAGAGACGTGAAAGAGAAACCAAAAACTAACCAAAAGTGTCATCTGGCCAATAAATGGGCAATAAGTATGTATTTATAGGTGATAATTGCAAAAAAATTGGGAAGGGGTGGTATTTTTAGTTAAAATTATAAAATTGGTAGCATATAGGGATATTTCCCAAAAAAATTCCATATATATATATTTATTAAATTGCCATTGTAAATATGGGAAAGATTATCCTCTTATATTAAATTGCCAGCATTATGTTCGAATCCATTCCAA